TTTTTTAAAGTAAGCTAAAGACAGTTCTTTTTAAAATAATTTTAATGAATCTGTATTATTTTATAAAGTCTGGTCTATTTTTTTTCTTTCGATAGGTTTAATTATTCAATTAAATGTCTGATGTATTTTACATTATTGTATTTTAGGTGCACATGTACAGTCGCCCTCAAATGTATTCATACCCTGCTATTAAAGAAGGGGAAAAACAGCTGTCCCTGAAAAAGGTTGAAATTGACAAAAGCAATAATGAATAAAAAAGTTGTGAAAATCATGACATGGCTTTTGAATTGTGGCTCAACAGAAACACAAACATATTAAAAAAAATAAACACGGGGGACCATAAACTAATATTTTGTTGAAAATATTATTGTAATATTGTGTTTTCTGTAACTCTCAGTCAGACTTGTGCACCTGTTGAAAGGTATTTTGATTTTGGCCCACTGCTCATCAACAAAGTGCTCTAATTTCTCTGGGACAGGTTTTTGTTTTTTGTTTTTTTAAATTCTACTTTTCAACCACAATTCAAAAGCAATGTCTTATTTCACTAAATTATAATTTAGAAAATTTTTATTTATTATTACTTTTTTCAGTTTCTAGTTATTTGATTGACTATGATGAATTTTGCCTTTTCTTTAATGGAAGGGTATGAATAAATTTGAGGACGACTGTAGAAGGAGTGTGGCTCTGAGAGGTGCCAGAGAAATAAAAGTTACCTCATTCACTTGCACTGCAGAGTGCACTGGACTCTGCCGCCCCCTGCTGGAGGCTGTCCTGCGGGGGCAGAGGGCGCAGGTCCGGTTGTTATGGTGAAGCATTTCCCCAGAGGGCTGGAGCTGGAGCAGCGGACAGCAGCTGATTCAGTTTCACCGCCGCAGACTCGCACAGGAGCCGCCACTGACAGGCACCTCCACAGGTGAGCCACGACACGCCGGTTTCTATCACTTTATATCGATGTTGCTCATCCTGCTCGGTTTAATTCGCTTCGTATCACTTAAACTAAGTTGTTACCTCGATAAATGTAGTTAATTGTGCTCCACGGCAGCGCGGCTCCGCTTGCCGTGCTGCTGAATAGCTAACCTCAGGCTAAGGTAACGTTAGCATGACATAATATCAACGGTGGCGCCGCTCAACAGGTGTGTTCTCAGCGTTTTTGACAATTAAAAGTCCCCCGGTTCAAATAAAGTCGCCGGTGTTAACTTTATCTGCACCCGAGTGCTGTGAATGAAGGCAGGTAGCTTAAATGAGCTGCTTACGTTACCTGTCAGACTAACCACCTGTTGAGCCTGTCTGCGGACCGCTAGGTAGGTTAGCTAATCTGCTGCTCGCTTAATCCTCGACGGTATGAGAAGGGCTAACGTGGTCCCTGTTAAAGCTTTATTGTTACCGGTGGCTGTGCAAGCTAATTTTGAATAAGTGAAAGGTATAATTCGCTAAACTTTATCTATTTTTTTCTTTTTAAATAAGCTGAACCGTGGTGACTGGACCATGAGCTGAACTACTATCAGTTACTATCACTCCAGGCTGATATAAAACTGTGTGGTGCCTTTGTTTTACAGGCTCATAGTTCAGTGTTAATGCCAGGTTCACTGCCATCCACTATTTGTTTTATATTGATTTTATTGTTCTTGATTGAGCAAGATAGTGTTGAAACTCTCAATATACTGCCTTGTGGTAGTATTTCCATTGCATGTAAGCAACACGTCTTGGGTTTTTTTCTCTTTATGATCATTTTTTAGGGTTATGTAACATTATTAGATTGCACCTGGTTGCCCTCCAAAGGGCTAAAACAATCATTTCATTAATCCTATTGTTGCACGGTAGACAACTAATCAAAAGCTAGTTGAATAATCAATTTTTAATATCAGCTATTGAACTAATTTGCTGTTTTTCTTCGTTTTATATGCCAGGACACTGGTTTTAGACTGATGATTGGACTAAACAAGACCCTGGGGAAATATGAGAAGCCTTTTCTGCTAATTTCTGACATTTCATAGACGATCAGAAATCGTGAACATGAGTTATGTATTAATTGGTTGCGAAAATAGTCATTATCATAAGTGCAGCCCTAATGTTCTGTTAGGAGAAACTGTACCAAGGCTCAAAATACTTATCATTGTCATGAGGGTGCCTTGGCATTTGATTTCAGTGTACTACAGCTCACAAGCTGTTTAACTTTAAAACAGCAAAACTGACTTGTTTACCTAAATATACTCAAAGCCATTTATATATGTCAAGCCGGTCTTATTCTCAAGTAGTGCCACGTGTGGTCAAAGTACCACTTGGGCACTTGAACAGGAATTCCTCAGTATGTATGGTCAAATATTTGCAAGTTTCACAATGCAGACCAAGATTAGCTTTTAGGCACCTTTGATGCACAACGTGACACCACACACACACACACACACACACACACGGAGTCTTGCACAGTGTTAAAGATCTAGGAGGAAATCATAAAAAACCGTCAGATTACATTTCGACGCTGTGTTTATGCTTTAGTGAATAGTCGTCTGTGTGAGCTCACAAGGAGTCACACTGGCTGTATTCAGTGTTTGCATCCTCCATTGCAACAACAATAGCTATCTGAACTGAACAAGCACTTTATAAGATATTTTGGAAGGACAAACGCATTAACCTTGCATGTAGGGCGCACTGGAGATAGGTCTGGCCGTGCGAGACTACCATTTGTGTAACTCGAAGTAGTCATTATAAAGAGATTTCTTTGTAATCCTAATATATTTTTCCTTCATGATAAGATAATTCCAAGAAGCCGGGTGACTCAAGCAGGTCTGCCTCTGACATTCCTTCTCTAGTGCATGAACTCCCTCTTGTTTTTCCCCTGCCTTTTCTTACTGAGGCATTTCTTCACCATCCACGTTTGAATGTGAGACATTCTGCAGACAGATGTCACATACGTCTCGTCCTTTAGGCACCATTTAAAGATTCTTTATCCCAGTTTTTCCCCTTCACCTCTATATTTGCATGACATAACCCTGCTTCCCGCCGAGGAGCAGTCAGAGGAGTTAAAGTAAGCTAGTCTGTCTGTCTCCTCCCCATCCTTCCTCCTCCTCCTCATATTCTCCTCTATCTCCTTCACATTCTTTCCTCTACATCCTTTTGCCTTCTCCTTCCATATCCTGCCCTCCAGAAAAAGCAGCCACTCTTTGTGTATTCGTCTATCTCCAAATCTGTCTTCATCATACATCAGCCCACACTGTGTTTTTCTCAAGGTCCCTCACTCTCTCCCTGCTCTTGGCTACTTGGCAGAATTACTGAGATTTCTGAGTGATTATATGGAACAGCTCAAACCTTTACACATGACAGGGCTTATTGTAGATCCTCCTCCTCCCTCTCTCTTTTGTAGTCATTCTAATTCTGTCCTTCCTTAAAGGGCTGCAGCTATAATAATTTCTGATGTCAATATCAACTACCGATTGTTTCACAGAGATCAAGGTGGCATCTTTAAATCTTTTGTCAATTCGACTATCATTAAAACACATGAACTAGTTATTCATTCATTTCCTTTTAACTGATCGTTCAATTCATCAAGCACTTTAGCTCTACCACTTCTGTAAATGGTTTTTAGATTACGCAGTAACCGATAAAAACAACCTTTCTGAGTATTTGGCAGGTAATTTAGCTCACTAGGCATTGTTTCAGATCGCAGGCAGGATCGTTCCCGAATCATCAAGCCACATTGACTCAGCATTGTTTATTTCAATGAGCCGCTCAGAAAAGTCCTGCATGGCACATCAAATAGCACAGTGGGCTGATGGTTGTACACAACAGCTGTGTGGTGTTGTTTGATGATGACAAACCCATGAGTGAACATCGTGTGCAGCCAGATTTAAGGCTAAACAGGAGTGTAGGCTGAGTTTTCTCTTGTGTTCTTCTAAGTTCAGTCACAAGCTGTTATACTAAGGTACCACCCACCTAATGAATGTATGAGCTTCAGTGTATGTGTGTGTTCATAGTGCCCCATTCATTCTGTTGAATGAAACTTTATGTTCCTCAGCAGCTGTAGACAACCCTTCCTGTGAGGTCATTAGGTGGAAAAAGTCGGAAGACTACAAATGCCAGACTGAGGCAGGGACATTTTCCTGAACACATAAAATATTAGGTATATTCTCAGTGTGTTTGTGTCTGCGTGTTGTGCTGCCATACAAGATATTTGTACAATATCAGTGATCTCACCTTGTCTTTTCCCGTCTGTCTGGAGTTTGCATGACTCAGAGAATCACAAGGTTTTTACACAGTCTTGCCACCAACAAATTCCTCATTCTCCATTCGTGCAGGGGCTTAATGTATAAGAGGCAAAACTGACCCAATAATGAAATACAACACAAGTTCTCAAATGGCCATTGATACGCCACATCAATAAGGTAAGATCACAGCATCATGAAGAAATGTGATAATTATTGTTGTGTTTTTAAAATGTACTATTAATTTGGTTTAATTACTTTCACCCAAAGTAACATTTATTTTTTTCCTATATAGATACCTGCATTTATGTGATAGGTTAGCTAGTATTAGCTTAGTTTTGTGAAAAATGTCTCCCCATTTGTTTGTTTAGTAATTGGACAAAATTCCAGAGACTTTTGCTTTTTAATTCTGAGCAGCTGACGGCCAAACATGTTGTTGAACATGTTGTTTAAATCGTTGCAGCGCTGGAATTATCTTAACACAACAGCATGTTGTGTATCTTTAATTGCGAGCAAGAACTAAATATTCCCAAAGAGCAGCAGGAGAGTATTCACCGTCAGCTGTTTATCTTTCAGTTGTGCTCCCAGTTCACTGCTGGGGAAGGTAGGCTGATTAGTGACTGAGCTGCTAGTCAGACAGACCAAGACAGCAATCTCATGCTGTGAGGATCCTGAAGATTTTTTCTTCTTCTTCTTTCATCACACCCTGTCTTTTGCCAAATGATGGCTCTAAACCGCTCTGTCGTGAAGGCTACTTTCAGAACTGTCTCCACTTCAAGCTCTAAAGCATACGCTGAACCAAAAGGCTATAGTTAAAGGAGAGTAAAATTAAAATTAAAAAAGACATTCTTGACTTTCTGCTGAGTACACTTTTACAGGACTCCTGTGCTCAGAGTTAGTGTGTACCAGCAAATTTACAATACACATAAAGCCTGCCTTTAGGTCATCAGCATCGCCACAGACTTCTGCATATTGGTATCTATTTCATGTATTTAAGTTGCAGGCTAATTACTGTAGATCAGGAACACACATCATTTGGTGAACAATGACAGAATAGCCTGTGGTGTGGAACTTAACCTTATTTTTAGCTGAGTCCAGATCACGGAGCATCACTTGTAGCGTGTTCAGTTTCCAAAACACTCTTAGATTGCTGATGTTGTGAAATGTTACATTTACAAAAATGTTCTGGTAATGCATTTTAATGTATTTGGGTGGATAAATCATTCCCATGCACACTGCTGAAAACTTTCAGAAAGTATTATTTACTACTTTCACATTTTGAACCTGGATGCATTTAGGTTTTATTGTGTATCAGGATTAATTTGTTGGTGAAAATTCTGTGCTGTTTTATAAAATTGTACTGTAGAGATCCAAAAAGAAACCAGACAATCTTGCAAAGCCTAGACTGCAGCGCTGTGTGGACCTTTGCGGATGTTTCACTGGACCTGTGTTCTTAGTGGGAGATGATGTCTGTCATGTTTGTGTACCAGGATTAGCTGAAGTCAACAGTAAACATCATCATGTCTAAGCCTCTGCCTCGCCTGCGTTCCCCGTGATACCCTGCACTGATTGGCTTTGGCTGAGATTTGTGTTGTCTGGCTTGTCCTGCTCAGGCCACTAATGAGGAAACATTGTCCTGTGCTCTGAGTGTGTGTGTGTGTGTTTCTCTATGAATGCAGTATGGACAGCGTGAGATTTTATGTGTGTTACTTTGCATATGTGTCAAAGTTGGCCAAAGTGGGCCTTTGTTATCACGGCTTTTATGTAAGTATTATCTAAGCCTCGTTATGTTTCTGTTTGAGTCAGTTTATTATATAGACCCATATTCTGCAAAGTAAATCACTTGTTTAATCTACCAGCATATCATCAGATATTACTTTAGCTAGCATATTGCTATCAGTTTGGTTTTCTGTGATCTGTTAAAAAACACTTAAGAGTCAATGGCTTTTGATGTGGTTATTAATTGTTATCAGGCAGAAGTTTAAGTTGTTGATGAGATCCTTGACATTCAGGCAACTTTGTGCTGTTAAGGTTGTTTGAGATGTTTGGACCAAGGCCCAGTCAAACAGACAGTTGCTTTTCACAATGTGTTTTAGAATATTCTCCCTCCGAGTTGCTTTCTCTGTGGCCTACAATAAAATGTTTATATGTAAAAAAAAGACTTTCAGGAACACTAAACAATAGTAGCCTTGCCCTGATGTCCTTCAAAAGCTATACAACCACTTTCATCGCCACAGTTCTTGGATTTAAAAGTCGAATTGCAGCATGTTTGTGCAGCACATTGTGATCCTGCAATTATACCTAAGTGTACCATGTAACAGGCACAGCGCTCGTTGGTATCAGGCCAGCAGAGATCCTGCACTCAGTGAAGGCCGTTTTTCTCTGGGCGAGGGTGGAAGCACAGTAAACCGGTTTTATTGTTATGATCACATGATTTGTGATCATGTTTGATGGAGACAAAAGCGACACACTTTTGTTGCCTGCTCAAACAGTGGGCCGCACTTAAATCCGCAAGCTGCTTTAAATAATGTTGTGACTTTGCGGTGAGGTTGTTCAGACCACAGAAATCTCATTCACCTTGAAATACCTCCACTGGAACATTTCAAATGGTTCTTACAATATTAAATAACATTACAAGTCCATATTGTCAAACTGCAGGCCTTTATGCATACAATTCCTGCACCAGACCTATGCACCGTCATTAAAACGAAGCTGAAAGTGTACTTATTACTGCTTGGTTATTATATCTGTTCTCTTTAAAAACTCTAACTTCAAGCTTCCAAAGTATTAATGGACTGCAGTCCAACAACAGGTAGCAGCTTGTTAGCAAAAACATATTTATTGAAGTTTCTTAATCAACAAAAGTCCTTACAGAATAAGATAAGGGTTAAGCCGTCTATTGTAATCTGCAGATGACCCAATATGTCATGTTGTTGTTCGTGTCTGTTTGGAAGCCTTTGTCCACCACTGCAGTCAACATAGACTTGGAATAATACAAGTTGTTTTGCTAATAAAATTTGATGTCATCATTTAAAAAAGTATTAGTCAAATGCCACCTGCGCATTAAAATGGTTGATAAAAAATGGTTTCATTGTGAGCCACACACACTAACGTTTAGCATTGTGGTCTTTATTCCACTTCTCTTTCAGATTGTGTCTGGAATTAGCCGGCTAATACAGAGGTTAAGTTCCTGCAGGGATTTTCCCATTTTGTCCAATCCTTTCTCCCTTTAAAGCCCCTTAAAATGCCACAAACCATGTTCTCCGTCTAATTAGTTAGCTACAGTTGAAAATGTGACCAAAAGCAGGTTAGGCTACTAACGTGCAATCTGCAATTGTATTTATTATATTTAAATAGCATATTGTGTCTTGGGTACCATAGCTTTTTCTTGTAGGAGGAGCAGGGGTTAAGCAAAGTTGCCTCGTGATCACGTTGAACATGCACCCAACATCCATGTTTAAATCCCATGCTCTCCAAGTCCGTGTTTATTTGTGTGTAGTTTGAATGACTGATCTGTGTAGCGGCCTACCACTGTGTTATAAGTGTTATTACCTCAGTCGAAGGAAATCCTTACATTGTAGCTTGTGACAAAGGGTGAGAGGTTAAGTATCCTAAAAATAGTAGTTGTGTACAGCAAAAGCACAAATGACAAAAGTCTGTCTATCCCCAAGGCAAGGACTAGTAAGCTTTTAGAAGGCCAGGAAAGACCCTAATGGAAGCTGTCATGGTAGGTCTTTGTATACTGTGTGTCTTAATGTCCAAGGAACTTTTAGATATGACCCCCTCATCTACATTTGTGTTTATATTTTCAATTTCTGCATTGTAACAAATGGCTTTATTTGTAGTACAACAGATAAACCGCAACAGTGTTGGAGCCTTAAACCTCAATGAGCTCAAAGTCTAAGAGGAACTCTGCTACCTCTAATGATTCTCTGTGCATGTTTGCCATGTCGTCAGCTGAGTTATGGAGTGCTGCGGCCTACCCACCACCCACCTTTCACAGGCTGCTTGTTGTAGTGGCTCTGCGGCCCGGGACTACTGTCTTGTCATTCACTCTCTCTATCTCACTGAGTGCCTGTAGTTGACCTTCCTCTCAGCGCTCACAGGCCCAGGCCTAAATAATATATGAGTAGCCTGGAAAGAGCTGAGTGTGTGTGAGCCATGCAGCTCGGCTTGGAAGTTAACGAAAGGTAATGAGAGCGATCTCGCTGACCGAGGTTGCCAGGGTTAGAACTTGCACTGAAACATGTCACATACTAGCAGCTTAACCGCTTTTCCACAACATCCCTGCCTCAGTCTGACTATGTGGGTACCCCGGTGGCCAAAAAAAGTGTGTGTTGGGCTACAGGGTGTGTCAATCATTAATGAAAAGCATCCCACCATCTCAGGTTTCTTTCAGGAGAGGAGTGGGAGAGGAGGGAGTAGGGGGAAGGAGCTCAGGGGTTAAAGATAACAGGATTAAAAGGGCACTGTGCGTACATTATACTGTAACACAGCACTCACATTTTCTCTCCTTGCATTTTTTCTTCTCTCTTCTTGCCCACAGACAGACAGAAGACATTGTGGAAGAAGTCGCAGAAACCTTCATTCTCCGCTGTCTTCTTCTGAACACCTGCCAAAAAGTGCAGCATCACCACCAACTGCAGCGAGTTTTTGAAGGTTCTGTTTAACATCAAGGGGTATTTGAATCATGTCGCTGTCCGTTGTAACTGGACCAGGCCTTGTCCTGTGAATGCCTCTGTCTGTTGTCATTTAACATCTTGGTTCTTTCTACCTCGTGGATTTCTCGGTCACTGCCACCCATGGATTCTCAAATATTTACCCCTCTGTTGGTTCCAAGTCTTAGACACAATGACCACAAGTATGGATTAGCAGTCAAGATAGAGAATCTACCCAGGAGAATAGTTTGACTGCCTTTCTAGTTCTTCCTTCTTCCTCTCTGTCTATCTTCCCCCCCAGTGGATCCCTCAAGTTGCCTACAGGTGAAATGGATGGGAGGACTGACAGTTGGTTGAGATCCACAGCTTGGATTGTTATTGGACACCTCTCTGCTGCTATTTTGCTGTGGCACAACAAGAGCGTTTATGTGAAAGATGGGCAAGAGACATTGCAATAATTTTATGTGTTTGCTTACCTTGGAAATCATGGAGATATCCGTCACCTGATTGTACAACACAAGTTGCTTTGTTTCATCATACTTTGGACATTTTTGTAGTTAGATTTTTTTTTTCCATGAAAAGATATTTTTCAAATAGACTGCAGTGTCTTTTTTTGTGGCCTCACACAGGACGTAATGTAGGCCTGTTTGGCCTGTCAGAAGGCTCTCCTAAGGGAGGCATATGAGAAATTTGGTATCCCGAAACTCTGAAAGGATTTAATATCCTCAAGGACTAAGTGAAACAAACGGGGAATATAGTAGCAGGTGGTGGTGTAGTAACATGGCAGCAGATCACGGCGAGCTACTGGCGGAGATGTCCACGATTGGGCGTCTGAGTGCCACAGAACGCCTAAAGCATGCCCAGAAGCGACGCGCTCAGCAGCTGAAGGCTTGGGCACAGATGGAGAAGGACGCAGCACGAGGGTCAAGGGCCAAAGCAGATAAGAAGAAGCCACGCACCACCAAAGTGAAATTCCCCAACACAATCACCCTGCTAGATGCAACCGCCCGCAACGACTTGAATGAGGGTAGGTAAAAACACTTGCACAGAGAGGTCCTTTTAGAGAGCGTAATTTTTATGTATGTATCAAAAAAGGATTAAACCAATCAAGCATAAGTATTTGAGGAAACTCTAGACAGGAGGAGATTTTAAAGCATCAGAGTGCAACTGTATACTAATCCAGCACTTTCACAACTGAAGTAAACCAATCAAAATCCTAGAAATGTGATGTGAAATGGGAAAGCAGGCCCACAAAAGTCATGGGCTACCTTCTTTGGACTTCATTGTATTACACTGAGTTGCCACTGGCTTTTCCTGAGCCATAAGCACTTTTCAATGGATGGTGTAGTGCTCTGTAAAACCAACTATTCAAAGGAAGCGATTCATGCATAATTTATACTGGCTACGTCAGAGATTAATTGTAATACATGAGGCATTTTGTTTTCAAGGGCTTTATGGTCAGCTGCAGATCAAGGCTAATTATAGTGGAAAGTCTTTTCATGGTTCATGGTCATTGTTATTCCACGCACACACCGACTTAGTATCATTTGTTATCTCTATTTATGGCAGCGAGATAAGTGCCAAGTGTTGTAACATTTGTATAGAAAGGACTCTGCTCAGGTGGTCACTTGTAATGCTGTTTGTGTGTATATATGTGTGTGTGCTTGAATTTTTCTAGTGAGGGAGCTGCTGAACAGTGGTGTTAGCCCAGATCTTGTCAACGAGGATGGACTCACAGCCCTGCATCAGGTACCCACACACCTTACTGAGGAACTCACCAGTGCAGTAACAAGGATATGATCCCTCACTAGCTTCCCATCAGTTAACACTGCCAGATGTGCTATAACAGAAATAACTGAGGATATAGCTGTTAGGAACTGAAAGTTTCTTTTTCTTAATCTAGTGCCTCACAACACTCAGAAATAACTTAATTGACATGAAAATGTATCATCTGTGAGTTATAGACAAATCTGAGTTGTGCTTATATCAGGATGTTGCCATCCACTAAGCATTCTCAAGCTCCAACATCTGGAAGTGCAACGTCTTCAGACTGCAACGGTCATCATAACCAAAATCACCCACGCCCACATTCTCAAAACATATTCTGCTAGTAAACACATTGTGAACAGACACTTCTACCAACATTTAAGCTAGTTGTACATACACAGGCATCTCCTTCAACATGGTCAGCAGCTTGTACAAGCACAGCCTTGCAACAGACAGGATGACAGAACAGTTTGTGACTGTCCTTAAGGACTGCGAGGTCACCTCTGTACAGTGTGAGTTTTTATGTTTTTCGTGGGCACTGCTTTGAGCTCACAAAGTACTACTTGCCTTTATTATGTCTGTACCTTTACTTATCTTTAGTGAGTTTACATAAAGACTCTGATAACTTCCCACCATTTTAGTTAGAGGACCAAAAGTTGGAGGAGTAAAGGCGACATTCTTAAGCTTGAATTCCTTTCCTGGATCATTATGGTCACATTTAGAGGAAGACGCCTGTGTTTTGTTGTTTGAGACACACAGAGCTAAAGTTATCCATGTGTCAGTTTAAATTGGAATTTGCTCGCCCTTTTTTTACTTTCTGTGTCGTTACCTCCTAAGTTAACATCCACATACAAGTCATCCACATGCTACTACGCACTCATGAGAGTGTTTGTTAGTACAGAGAACTCTTTATAAAACCAGTTGACGCCACTCTTCCCCTTGGAAAGTTTAGTGTTTACACAGCAGAGGGCTGAGCCATGCATGCAAATTTTTTTTTCTCGAGCCAGTGTAATAGTTGCTATAAATAATGATGCATAGATTTATCTGTTTCTGTTTGTGTTTTTTTTTTAAATCAACATTATATGTTTCCTGTGCCCGTTAAGTGTGATGCATGTTATTTGCATTCCTGTGTATGAACATCTCCTCTCTCTCCTCAGTGCTGCATCGATGATTTTGTGGAGATAGTGCAGTGCCTGCTGGATGCTGGTGCCAGTGTGAATGCCTGTGACGGTGAGCTGTGGACACCGCTGCATGCTGCTGCCACCTGTGGACACACTGGACTGGTGCAGCTCCTGATTCAAGCGTGAGTTAGGCCTTGAATTTCATAACTCTGCTCAGTTTCACTCCCATAGCAGAACAGTTTTTGCAAACCTTTGTGAAGTAAATGTTTTAACCATCCAGTCAGGCAGAATGGATATTCCTTTCTTAATGCAGCATTAACAGACATGGAGTCTTCCTGGGGAAAAAAATGTAGTTTACATAAAAAAATGCAAATATGCCTGCAGTTTGACTCTGGAAGTAATTTGCTTTGTATGTGAGGGTGTGTCAGTCTGATCCAGTTCTCTTTGCATATCGGTGCATGGATGCATGCACGCTTGTGCCTGTGTATATATGAATGTGTGTGCATGCTTTCAGTGGGGCTGACCTGCTGGCTGTTAATGCGGATGGCAACATGCCCTATGACCTCTGTGAGGACGAGGCCACCCTTGAGCTGCTGGAGATGGTTATGGCTGAACAGGGTTAGTAAGCTGAGGCAAATCATACTACGACTGGCATATCAGAATTTGTTGTAGTTTTATCAATAGCATTTCTGTGACTGTTGAGTCTTGATTCATTTATTAGTTCAAGAATAAAGATGCATTAAGGAAAACTATCAATCTTTTCATGAAAGGTTAACGCGATTCTCTTTTGTTGCGTTTTTCTGCTCCAACTATTAATGTCCGTGCTAACTGGTACCTTCGGTTGTGTCCCTGTGTGTGTTTACTGGTGCAGGGATAACTCAGGACCGTATCGATGAATGCAGAGGGGCTAAAGAGGCAGCCATGCTGGTGGACATTCAGGCTCTTTTTCAGAGTGGAGCAGACATAAACGCACAGGACAATAATGGAGCAACTCTGGTAAGACCGCATGATGTGTGGATGACAAAAACTTATGGGAAAATTTAGCCTCTATAAAGTGGGGTGTAGTTAAGATGTGTCAGTTTTAAGAGTTAAACTATGCGATCTCAGTGTGAATACACAGTTCTAGAAATTCTCAAAAACACAGAATATTGCTGAAGCAATTTGCAGGTTGTTGTGAAATGCACTTCTAGGCTACATGCTGCTTTAATGTTATTTTATTTTGAATTCCTCACAGCTCCATATCGCATCTGCCAATGGCTATGTATCTGTAGCAGAGCTGTTACTAGAGAACCGGGCTCAGGTGGAGGTGAAGGATGCTGATGGGTGGACGCCGCTTCACGCCGCCTCCTGCTGGGGACAGGTTAGTACTGCAGTCATACCAAAAGAGTCTACTGCTTTTCTTAACTGACTCATTAACAGTGTTTGTATTTGTTTCATAGATCCAAATAGTAGAGCTGCTGGTGGCCCATGGAGCCAGTCTAAATGCAAAGTCTGTCCTAGACGAGACACCTCTGGGTGAGAGCATTTTCTTTTTGTTTTTCATATTTCTCTTCAGTTTAACCATAGGAGACTTTTAAGTGTCTAACTTTTGCTGCTGGGGCCTCCTCAGATGTATGTATGGACGAGGAGGTCAGAGCCAAACTGATGGACTTGAAGCACAAACACGATGCCATCATGAAGAGCCAAGACAGGCACAAGGGCACGCTGCAAAGACGAGCATCGAGCACTGGAAGCAGAGGGTGAGAGGGAAGCTCAGGGTGAAAAATGTAGAAAAAAGTTGAAGGAGTTTGGGGTTGTACTACTCCTCTCTGATTCTCTCTCATTTGTCCATGCAGTAAGGTGGTGCGTCGTGTCAGTGTGAACGAGCGCTCCAGTCTGTACCGGCGGGAGCACCACAAAGAGGCCATGGTGTGGCAGGAGCGTGGCCGACAGCCCGAGCCACAGGACGACGATGAGGACAGACAAACCGATAATGAGTTGCACCAGCATGCCACCATGGTGACTGAGCTCTGTTTTGAAAATGTTTCACAGCTTCTGTCACATTCTCACACAGTGTGAGCTGATTAAACAGTATGTTTTGTTGAATGTTCTTGTTTCAGGCTGCTGGTGGTGCAGCGACTTCACGTTCAGAGGAAGTGGAGTCTGCGGACAGGAAACTTGTCTCCAGCGTAGGGAATGGAGAGACCTCTGTTTCTCTTGCCTCCTCTGTGCCTGGAGAGCTGTGGATTGGTGGAGGTCCCATGGAGCGCAGCGCCTCCTACCAGCTCAACCCTGTAATAACAGAGGGTGAGGGGGCAGACAGTATGACTCGGGAGAAATCACACCACACCCTGGCCGATCTAAAGCGCCAGCGGGCAGCCGCTAAGCTCAATAAATACCCAGCACCTCCGCCACCCCTGCACCCTCCCTTAGAAGAGGAGCCTTCTGTTGCACCAGCAGAGGCGACAACCACTCAGGCTCAGCCAGAGCCCCCAATGACCCCTGTCGTAGAGCAAGTGGTCTCCCCCAGCCAGGTGTACTTCACCCCAGCCAGCGGGGATCCTCCACTACTGAAACTTCGAGCCCCCGAGGAGGAGCAGTCCAACAATAAGGAGCCTTGCTGTGGACTCATGTAGTTCAAGTCACACACTCAAACACACTGCCTACACAGTACAGAGGCTGGACATGTTACACCCCAAAGTGGCAAACACCTTTGAAAACACACACACTTTAAATGAGTCACTGAAATTAGGGCCACATGCCAATCAGGGTTTAATCTACACTGCAGTCCAAGTGAACTAACGTGATTCTATGTCCTTATTTCTTTTGCACTTATCTTTTCCTTAAACAAAACTTCATGCACATCTCATACTAAACATTCACACTAAAGGGCTGCTTAATCTGATGCACATTCTAGTGTTGCAATGACAATCGAAGGTCTGCCTCACTCAGTGTTCTTGGTCACTTTTTTACTCACCTCTTACTTAATTACTCAAATAGACTCACTGAAAAGTCTTAGAATCATGTGAAAGTTTAGAAATCCTCAAAAAAAAAAACTGAATGAAAAAGAATTGCAGGTGATTTATCTTAAATTAAAAACCAGGTTCTGTTTTTTTTTTGTTTTTTTTAACTGAATGACTGCTATTAAAGGTACGTGATCTACATTTGCATACATTTTACATTATCAGCAAGTGGTTTTGATTTTTGGGAGGTTGATTGGTTGCACTAGTTTCATTATATAATACAGCTATTCATGAATTTGCATTTACACAAATATGGACTGTTTCTTTGCTTGATTTTTCTTCTAAGACTGAAAATATACTGTAACAGTTTTGTTACTTTCCAGTGCACAAAAAAGGCCTACATTTCAAGTTTTGTAATGGTGCAATTTGTAAATGAAGCATTTGTCTATAATAATATTTAAATCAAAAGAAAAAAGGACTCCGCTTATTATTATCACAACCAGATTCCTATTTTTTCTGTCAGTATTTCTTTTTTTTTTTTTTTCTACCATCAGAATGGAATCACATTATTTATTCCGTCTGATGCTGAGAGTACATGACTTGTACCATTGTTAAAGTGTGAGGGCAAAATATTTTTATGTTTAACAGAATTATCAGAGATGATATTTAGTTTTATTGTAAAACCAAGTAAACTTGTCATATGATTGTTTATCAAAGGTTGGTGCCTTCATTAGGTAGCTTATTTAATGTAGGTTTGCGATGCTTGCACGCAGTCCCACGTGTAAATTTGGTGAGCGGTGGGATTAAATAATCTATCTGACATGGACTTGATGTACTGTCAATGCACTCCGATTTCTGTATTGTATTTCAGTTTTGCTAGTGATTTTTACTGATCCCTGTTTAGAAAAACGAAACATAAAAAGATGTTTTCACAAATGATTTTTGTATTTTTTAATGCAAGTGTTTATTTGGATACTCTGTAGTTATCATTTAAAGGGAGGAAATCAGATGAACATGTGCAAAGAATGATTGCATTATTTTTGAAACATTGAGTTTGACATCAACAAAACAACTTGTAAAGCTGTTTAGATTTAGGCTCCTGTTGGAATCCAGGTCAGGGTCAGATAATGACCTCATGGTCAGAGAAAGAGACTGACCTTTACCCATGGACTCACCGTCTTGTTTAACTTGTTTACCTTAAGTTGAGGATGTGTTCCCCTTGTGGTAACAGTGAACCGTTGCACATTTTTCACACTTTGCCACCCGTGCCTTCGCTCTTCCTCTTACATCAGACACTATCTGAACATCTCAGATGTCACAGTCTGTTCTGATCTGTCTGCCAGGGCAGCAGCTGATACGCATAGGAAACACCCCAGCAGGCGTTAGTTATAGAAGTAATACACACAGAAACAACTGTTCAAACCCTAGTTTCAAGTTGTTCTCACATCATAAATTGCAGCTTTATGATTAAAATTTAGTGGTTATCTTTAAGATGCACCAGAATTATCTTCATGCACACACGTAAACCTTGACGCACCGATCTTAACGCTGTCCCTCATTTTGTATGTGGCCTTGGAAACAGTTGTGCATGTGGCGTTTAAAAATGGAACCTGCTTAACTTCTGACATGATTTGAGAGTGAGCTAAGACTGCTGAGCCACAAGGGGTCGATCCTGTGAGTCTCTTAAACCGTCATTACAGTAACGAAATAGCTGATCCAACACGTTATTTATTATGTGATGTTGATCTGTCATTTAAAATTAGGTAAATGGAACAGGCAGTGTCCTGTGATGCTGCCGAAGTATGCACTGCGTAACACACAGCAGTCACCAGGGCATCACATGCTCGTATGTGAACCGTTTTAGTTTGGGATATCAAATGTCTTTCCCAAGCCCTTTCCAAGACATGAGGTGAGGGGGGGGAGTTTCTCTGTCCCATGCTGTGCCCTTCTCACACACACAAACCTTATGTGGCTCTGTTACAATTTCCAAAACAAAAGACACACAAAGGAGGGATTGTTGAGAATTTCTTTGACATTCTGCTGTCGATCCTAACTTGTTCCTCTGCATTCTTGACAGGATAGGTGGCTCCTTCGGGGGCAACGTGATGCCTTTTACTGGGGAGCATGTAACATGTTGCAAAACGCGAAGATGCCCTGATGCTGACCTCTGAACCCCCTGCACCTTCATGCCACATCTGTTTCTCAATCTCTTTTGACTTATTTTGGCATAAACCCAATCTAAACCTGTCTTAACTTTAATTAGTCATCTCCACAACCTCTAGCTCCATCCACACAGTGCACACTTGCCTATAATGGGTGTGACTATTTTAGTCGGTTTAATTAGGCTACAGTAACAGTAGCAAAATGATTAGATAATGTACATGAACCTTTGCTATTTAAGGGTCTTTCTCAAACATCTTCCTGTTCCTAATGCAGGGCGTGCAATAGATAAAAGGATCCCTGACAAAATATGCAGTGCATTTGATCCACTTTAGTATTAAAATGTTGCTTAATGCATCCGTATCAAGTCAGTAATAGAAACTCTATAGGAATATAACACTTTAAATTGCAATGTTTTTGGGGATTTAGTAAAAGCACAACTCGAAGTAACATAATTATTGACGTCTGTGTTTTATTTGCTCAGAGTGCTGAGCTGTCAGGCTGCTGTTGCCTAATGCGATACTTGACAGTTAAACCAAAGCCACATGTGCATCACTTATTGCTATAAGTCAAATTTTATCCTGTAGAGGAGGTGGTGGTTTAGCAATGTGCAATATTAAAGCTGTGACCTATAAAGATTTACCCACAGATAATTATCAACCAAGTCTACAGAACCCCTCAACACCATGGAGCACTTCAGTCTCGTCATCTACTAGCATTTAGGTTTGTACCACCTGTAATTTATTTTCATACTTGCCACTCTCATTAACTTTGTTCCCAGCAACAGGCGACATTTTCAGGGTGGGACATATTGGTGGGGGCCAAAGCGGAGCTAAAATCTGACTAAAAACACTTGAAGAAAGGCCACTGGAAACATTATTGAGCCACTTTTTATTACATGTTTGCTCAGACTGTATATAAAAGATGCTGCTTAAGTGCAATTCAAGTGCATGTATGGGAACGAGGCGACGGAAGTCTGATATGTTGTTAAATGTCGACATGAAGACAACATTGAAGCAGCTTGTAACTTTGCACATATAATGAGAGTATGTAAACTCCAACGCACACCAATTTTCATGGTCCACCTCACAATTTTGGCGTGTCAGAATAGCAAAAAAACTGCAACCTTGGCTTGCTTATCACATATCAAATTCTACTGTTGTTGGAAGCCTCAAGACTGTATTTTAAGAAGGAAATGTGGATGCATCCATTTATATACACACTTACTGGAAGCTTCTGTGTCCTCAATACCACCCTCATTTAACAATTTTGCACTTTTTTCCATTTTCAAGGGCCAGTAATTAAAGGAAACGACTTAATCCGTGTTCTCACCAAACATCAAGATTGTGAAAGTTGTATTTGCGGAGATATTGAAATGGCTTACCAGATGAGACTTTTTTTTAAAATATACAAAACACAAATATTTCAAAGGTCAATCAAAATATTTTAGAGAACTTTGCTCCGGGTCCCCATAACAAATAAGTTAAATCTGAGGTAGTGCAGCAACACATTTGCTGAATTCTGTCTGAAGTGAAACGGACTGAACCTAAAGAGAGCTGCAGCAGTTGACCTAAAATGACACCACGACAGTGCGCTGAAAAACAGACAGTCAGGCGCTCCATACTTGGCACAGGTTCAATGGACTTTTGGATGTTTGGCATGAAAATGCAAGATTAAACTTTACCAAAAGACACCAAAACAAGTCTTTGGTCAGATGATGGTCCAGTTAAACTTGCTCAGCTCAGATTGAGTCCATGTTTGCTGTGGACCTGACCAGGGCTAACATAGTAACTGTACAGTCCTGACAGTGAAGCACACAGAGGTGTAAGTGTAATGATGTGGAGGTGCATGAGTACAAAAGATGTTTGGGAGATGTTTCTCATGGATGACACCATGAATGCCTGTAGATATATCAAAGTACTGGCTGATAAGATGATGCCGAGTTTAGTTTAGCACAAGAGGAATTCCAGTTTGTTAATGATCGAAAGAATACTGCTAAAATGACAAAACGTTTTCTAAAGAAGGAAAAAAACGAAGAATACTATGACCCAACCAAGTATGTTGCAGGACTTGAATTTCATTAAACACCTTTGGGGTATTTTAAATAGAAATGTAGAGCAACATAAGCCCTCCAGCAAAGAGCAGATCAAACAAACTGTTAAAGAATGGCAGAACATCTCTCTGTACAACACCCACGGAGGACTGAGTCTGTCCTTTAAAAAAATAAAGTGGATGTATAAAGAGCAGAAAAAAAAGATTTAAATAGCAGAAAAGAAGCATACAATGTCAAGTTTTGCTTCTTTAATTTTGACATTAGCTTTCAATTTGAGTGTAGCGCTCATGTTATCTTTGCCTGGTTTTATCTTATCGTTTTATAAGCCACTTTAAAAGTACCAAGCAGTGATAAATGAGAAACCAAAACTGAAATGCCCTCCTTTACCTGGCTGCTTTGACATTTGCATTTGAAGTCATGTTTGGCCACCTAAGACTAAGCATGATTTCAAATGTTAATGCTGGTTCTTTCCTGCTGAGTGTGTAAATCAGCCACGGTTTGCTGATGAGCTTGATTGCTGCTGTGCTTTTGTTGTACTTTAGCGAGCTAGATATTTCACAGCACCTCTTTCCATGGCATGCTTGAAAGCTGAGTGCTCTGGGGAGGGCACAGTAAGCAGGAGTCTGGGCATCCTCTGTGGTCAGAAACATGTGCACCTAGAAACTGAATTTACTTGAAAAAGTGTATTAAATACGGAATTTGAATCACACAATTTAAATTTGAGTTGTTTGACTGGAGTAATTGAACTGCAAACAGGTGCTGATTGGTTGAAATGGAGTTGACGGAGACATGACATGACGGTAATAAACTTAAGTCTAGCAATTCAAATTCAAACAATGGGATTGTAATTAAATTGTAATACAGTTATTAAGGCTGAGCAACTTTAATTCTAACTACATAATTCAGATTCATTTTTTAAATAACTATTCAAATCGACCATCTTAAATTCAAGGTCTGTGACTAAAACATCCTTTTTTTAAAAATATACAATTATTATTTTTTGAGCCATTCATATGCAACTTATGTGATTAAAATTCTGTTTTTAATACAATTATTTAATTTGAGCAATTCAGTTTCAAATTGCGTGATTCAAATCCAGTTTCTAGTGTCACATATGTTTGCTATCATCTTGATCATGCAGGACCAAGAATTTAATATTCTGCATTTTCATGATTTTTATTGACCTTTCTGTTCTTGGTGGAAATGTGTGATTCAGTTAACCTTTTAAGACCCGAGCTCTTGTTTGATATGCATGTGTGTGTGTGTGTGTGTGCGTGTGTGTGTGTGTGTGTGATCAAATAGCAAAGAGGAATAAAAAATAAAAAATAGAGATGCACGATATATCGGTAACCACATCGATATCAGCCAATATTAGTGTTTTTGCCGATATATCGGTATCAATCTGGTGAACAAATTTAGCTGATGTGAAAAACCAATGATTGTCCAACATTAGCGCCTTTGTCTCTACATTTGATATTGCTGCTATTTCACAGATGTTTTTGCTTAAATGGTCCTGGACTTGAACGTTAAAAATGCTAAAATATGTTTAAATATGTTTTGTTAGGTGATAAAGAAGACTATGTGGTCGAATTTGGGATAGGCATATTTGAATAGTTTTCACGTTCTCACAGTGTTTACTTATACTCATTTTTCGGTGTGAACAAAAATTTGATTGTCAACATCGGTAATATCGGTTATCGCCGATATCATAAACCTTAATATCGGATATCGGTATCGGCCAGAAATTTTAATATCGTGCATCACGAATGAAAAATATAAAGATTATAAAAATCCAATAACAAGCATGTAATATATCTAAATTAAAAAATAGATAATTAAAAAATAGATAATTAAAAAATAGAAATGGAATAATAAGAGGTTAAAGAGGTTAAATGAAAACACCAAATTTAGTAAAGGTTATAGTTTGCGGCACAAATGCACATCTTACACCAACTAAAATCAACACATATGCTTGAAGAAAAAAAGTTATTTAAAAAATAAATTAATTAATTAAAAAAATAAAAGCTTTCTCATTAATTTTGCCTGGATTCCTATTTCTTAAACTTTCTTTAATAAAAGTCAGCTCTTGCTAAATGTCCTACTGCTGCATGTGGAAGTAGTGTGTTATTTTTTTTCCCGACTGCATTTAAAGGCATCATTTGGCACGCTGCAGCCGGAGGCGAAGTGAGCGAAGAAATCCAGCCAACCGTGAGCAGCGGCGGCGGAAGGCGTGGCGGCGGCCGGCTGGGAATAATACGAACAGAGAAGCTCAACTGTCAGTCGGAGCTCAGAGCGGCTGCGGGGTGTAAACAAGCGAGGCTCCGCTCAACAGCTGGTAACAACTGATAGACTTTATCTGCTCGTCATTAGCTGCAAACTTCTGCTCAGTCGTGATATTTCTCATCTCTTCTCTTTTCTCTCTCACTTTTTCCTTTCCAGATTGAATTTCAAGTGTGTGTGTCGGAAAAACAGAAAGCAGCATGTCCCAGCAGGCAGTGAACGGGGTCCCGAGCCGGGGCAAGGTGCTGACCGTGGACAACATGAACCCCAACGTGAAGCGGGTCGAGTACGCGGTCCGGGGACCCATCGTGCAGCGGGCCGTGCAGATAGAGAAGGAGCTCAGAGAGGTAGGGTGGGACTAGTACAGCTGGAGGGAGGAGAAAAAAAAAGTCAGAAAAGGAAGATAATGTTGCAGTAGTGGTGATGTGGGACTGAGGTGAAGCTTTATGAGGCTGTTTGGTTTATTTAATCTACTTGCTCTCAACGTTTTTGCAAGTTTTCATGTGATAAACACTAAAAAAAATAACAATCTGTAACCAGGCTGCTTTAAAATCTTAGCCAAGAAAGTCTGGTTTAATCAGCAAGACATCCCAACATAAAGTGTGGATCTGTGATGATTCATATTCAGTTTTTTTTTTTTTAAACACAATTATTCAACCTGAGCAATTCAGTTTCAAACCCAAATTTGATTTTCTAATACAACTATTCCGCCATTCAACTTCAAATGATATATGATTCAAGTTTTTTAATGCAGTCGTTCAAGATGAGCACTTCAACACATCTCCAGTGTCTGTGGCTCTCGGTTGCTCCTGAACTGAATCCGAATTGTAGTTTTCAAAATGTAACAGTGTCAAATGATGTGATTGATATTCAGCTTTTATAATAGAGTTATTCAAGTTGAGCAATTCCTATTCAAAGGATGCGCTTTTAAATTACATTTGTTGATTCGTTCAATCAAGTTAAGCAATTCGAATTCAAATGATTTGATTCGCATTGATTTTTTGATGTGTTACAACACATCGTGGCCTAAACTCTTAACAGCAAATAATGGATTTGCCGTTGATCATTAAGTCTTACAAGAAAACAGCTGGGCTACACGCCATAAGTCCTGGATGCTGTTTTGCAGGGGCTACTCAAACATAGTTGAGCAAACTGCTAAATCTATGTTGCCTGTCTGACTAAACTGGTTGGTTGATAAGAGTCCAACTAGATAGTTCAAGTACATCCAACATTCTAGTTGAACTGATTTACAAGAATGTTGAGTTAAAGTAGCAACAACCTTAGATTCTTGTTCACATTGCATCATTTTTTTTATTTTTTTTGGACTACTACTGTTTTTACTGTTAAGGGGATGTATAGTGACTGCAAAAAACCAAAGTTGTGAAATCACGCGTGTGTGTGTCTGGGAGGAGGGGGAGAGATCATGAATGAATAAACCAACCAGCTGCCGGAGCTTTCAACAACTGGAATTTCACTTCACCTAACAGCCACGTTATGGGAACAGTTTGCCTGAGGCTGGTAATTTTGTCTTTTTTTTTTGCACACCAGCAACTGTGAACAGTGAACAAATAGAGTTCTTTCCCCCCCACTCCGCTCTGTTTCCTCTAAGATATGAATGCCTCGTAGCCTCAGTCAATAAGATGCTTGCCTTTACAGTTTTTTGCTGACTGGCTTGGAGAGTGGATGCAGGACATTAGAGAGTAGGTCAGCTTTTATAAGTCCTTCCATGTCCACCGTAGTGACCCTGTTATGCTCTACTCATATTACATTCAAGAGAGGCAATATTGATCTACAGTTCTTCCTTTGGAAGGGCGAGCAGGTTGAACAGAGTGTCTTTTAAGAGCTGTAACGCAACCCTCTCTGCAGTTATGTCGTCCTTACAAGACACGTGATGGTCTTGGGGGCACAGTCCTGGCTGGTTTTCAGTACATTTCGCTCCACTCTTGCCTGAGGTGGCTCCAGGATCCAGACGATGTGTATGTTGCAGAGGGGTTATTACGTAAGGCGAGAGGGTACATTCTCTGTCCTCTTTTGTCGCTCTTCGCTTGCCCACCTCCCTCCTCCTCTTCCCCTCTGCGGAGAGAGAGTTCATTGGACTGAGCTGCAGCTGTGAGGCCCAGCAGCCTCAGAGGCCTTTCACTGCAGGAGCTTCATTACAAGCAGCCCCAGTTCTGATGAAAGTGCTCCACTTCTTGGTAGTCCACTTGTTTCCATAAAGGCAAAACCACAAGCAAAGCTGATCCTTAATGTTTGACTGACAGTAACTAGTTTCGAAACCCACATTACACCATAAAGCTGTTGCTGTTAAGGAATTATGAAGGCTTACGTTGGACAAAGTTCAGTGAAGGGTGTAGTTTTAGACACATACAAACACATGGATCCTCGTACAGGATATGCTAATAGTAGGTCAACATGAGCTTCTTTTACTGGTGTTTGTCCAGAGAAAACACAAGGATGTGCCGAAGAGCAAGCATCGAGTTTCCTCTTTTCCTTTTATGTTCACCTGTTGAGTACTTTCTAGTAATGCGAGCCAAAACCACGTGAAGACCAGGAGTTTTCTGATGGGGTCAGGAGAGTTTGCTTGGCTGCAGTTGACCAGTCGTCTGCTGGGTGCACTTCCTGTCAAATCTGTGACTAGGACACTTTTAACTGAAGGCTCAGCAGATTTTATGCGAGTGTGTATGTGTGTTTATGCATGTGCTGGCGTGGTGATGACCCTTATAAATCCTTACCCAGACATCTGGCATGACTGCACTGCAGTAAGCTAATTCAGGCCTGGATCTCCGCTGCTGGCAAGTGTGCCCTATCTGTGACAATAAAAGAGTGACAATAGAGCAGGAGAATGAGGGGGAAAGAATCCACTTTGTGTTTATATACAGTTATTCTGTTTTGTGCTTTACATCTGAGTGAAATTACTGTGGAGTTTCGTCACAAAAGGCGTCTTAGTTTGAGCAAAGAACAAGAATCGGAGCCGTTTTCTTAACGTTTGCGTGAGCTAGAGCTTGAATTAGTGTAGTTCCACTTATCCTAGCGTGGCTGAAGGCAGAAAGCGACTTGATTTTAGGATGGTTGACAGGCCCTGCTCTGTTCAGCACTGGTGACCTACATGGTTTGTTTGCCTGGTTCGCTGCTCTGGCCTGTATAATCGGCGCCTGGTGCTGACTGAGCCGGAGAGCGCAGTGCTGAACCAACTGGCTCCCACTTTTACCCGCAGAACAGCAGCCTCTTTGTTGCTCCAGAATAAGGATAGAAAAGGGACTTAAAAGGAAACGTGCTGCATCCGCTTACTTAAATTTCCAACGAGCTCATATCAGACTTAGTGCAACCCGAGGAACTTTGGAGAGCTCGCTCTCAATGTGATTCAAGGGCAAAAAAATATCAGTGTTGACTCAGCTAAAAGGAAAGTTCTCCCTGTTCCCTTGAATGCCTCTTGACTGGTAGTTTATCATGTAGAACACATCGAATCATGGCAAGGATAATGTAAACAGCACCATTTTAGTTGTGCAATAGAAGGTAAAATTCCTATAGAAATCAGGCCATGCAGAGATTGAATGTGCGACTGAAAGACAGGTTACGCACAGGTTTGACAAGATGAGGGCAAGATTAGATGTAACTGTTTGGCCGGAGTTGTAGTATGTAGTGTATTACAACTAAATAGTCAATGTACATTCAGTATGTGAAACGTTATCAAGGTCGGCATGAAAAACATCTGTTTTCGCAGCGAGTACTTCTTTCTTACATTCATTTTAATGGCCCCCACAACATGACTACATTCACCACACTGCAAACACCTGAGGCAGGTCCCAGCAAAGAAAGCGATTACATCACAACACAAGACAGAACAAGATTTTTTTCTAATTAAGTAAGGGTTGGTGATGCAGAACAGTCCGTCCTGATTTTCGGATCCTGATTGTTGGATGCATAAAGGTAATTAACATAAACACAGAGTGATGCGGTTTCTAACTTCTTGACCTGATTTGAAAACAGATTATGAAACTTATTTTATTATTATCATATGACAGCCTGAACGTGGTGGGCAGTTGAGTTTGAAATCACAATAACATTTTTATTCCAAAACTCTGATATGCATTTCTGAACATTGCAGGTAATAGTATTTTATGTTTTGACTGGATTTAAATTTTATTTCTCACTTGCCTTCATTGTAACGTAATGGTGTGATTTTAAATGAACCAATCATTAAGCCAAAACCAACCTTGTGGTTATCTTTCTAGGCCTCCTCCAGGTCATAAAGTATCAGGGTCTATCTTTTGTTGCATGACGTCATCTGATAAACAGCAACTGTGATAATCAAACAGGCATACAGACACCAAACCAGAGTTTGCGTGATTTAGTTAGGTCAAAGATGAGAAGAGAAAGCTGTTGGGGTGAAGATGAACAGAGAGGGGACAGAAGGCGCATAATGGTTTGGCTGAGGAGAGGAATAAAAAAGGGAAAGATTCAAGCTCTTCGTGTGATTGGATTAGACCAGACATTCCTGTTTAATACCCCGAATTACAAACAGTGAAGGGTCTGTGTCTGTGGGAGCCCCAGCAGCAGCGTCATCCCTCCGCAGGCCAAACCAGTCTCCGTGCCAGAGTCTTTCCAAAACAGAAGGGTGCTAATGAGAGAGGATGCATGTGTGGATGTTGAGGGGCCTGTGTGAGGTGAATGCAAGTAGTTGTGATTTGATTTACAAGCCATCAGTTGACAGCAGCACAGATGAGTCTGTGGTTTATGCTCCCATCATAAAGGGTCATTATGTCATTATTGTCCACTTATCATAACCGTGCTGATTTCAATGATAGCTGACTTTTGAAACATGCAAAAGAAGGGACAGAAAAAGAGACACATGAAGGAGAAAACACGTCTAACTCTTGGTTTTGTAGTTTCAACGGTATCTTGACTCGACTTACTCCTTTTTACATGTCCAGACACATCTTGTTTGTTGAACAGCTGTCGCGGCGAGTAAGAATTAAATAACAGAGACTCCCCAGGCTCTTACATTTCACACTGCGTCTGTATTTTCTACATGTTGCTCAGAGACCTAATCAAAATTGATTCTTACAGTTTTGTGTTTTTATCGTTTCAGGGAGTCAAGAAACCCTTCACAGAAGTGATCAAGGCGAACATCGGCGACGCCCACGCCATGGGTCAGAAACCAATTACATTTCTCAGACAGGTTGGACCGCTTTTCACAGTTTTGCCTAAAGTCTTTTGGATGTTTGTGGGTTTGGTTTTTTTGAGTATGCAGAACTTAGAATTGCAGTCGCACATAAACTTGGTCTGACTACATTCATATGGCTAACACTGTATTACAAGTATTTGGATTGCTCTCTGGGAGATTTTTGCTCTCATCTAAGTCTTATTATAAGGGATTGAACAAAATATTGATTAAGTAATGTACTGTATCACTTCCTCTGGCAATACATTATTGATAGAGTGGAGCCAGAAATCAATATTTTTATTAAAGTGTGCAGATGCATTAAACAGTGTCGTGACACTATCGTATCATGAGTTACTCCGTGATTCCAACTCCTACTCATTATTCCCTCCTACAGTTCCATTATCACCTCTTTACCCCTCATAATGTGTTAAAACAGTTCTTTCAGCCCTGATGTACTCAAATAAAAGCTGAGATTTGGTACTTTACTGTGGTATCTAACATTGTATTTCAAACTGAATGAAGAGCCTGATGAACAACACGTTTATAATCGTTCAAGTGGTCTGAACTTTATTGTGAATGTTTTTGACACATTATGGTTTTGGTCCTCCTCTCTCAGGTCTTGGCTCTGTGCGCTTACCCCGAACTCATGGAGGACAACAAGTTTCCAGAGGACGCCAAGAAACGAGCCCAGCGTATTCTAGATGCCTGCGGAGGCCACAGTATAGGTCAGACAACGCCCCCTCAGTGCACCGACCCATCGACTTGTTCTAGCACACACGTCATTCGCTTTCGCCTCTATTTGTCTACTCATTAATAATTTGTTTGGACAGTCTGTGCCACCATATAACCAAGGTTAAAATGTTTCAACTGATCAATGCAGTCAGTTTTTTTTTTTGTTTGTTTGTTTGAATCAAAGTTCATTTCCATGTGTTCCAGGGGCCTACAGTGCGAGCCAGGGGATCGAGTGCGTCCGCCAGGATGTGGCGCGCTACATCGAGAAGAGAGACGGCGGCATCCCCTCCAACCCTGACAGCATCTACCTCTCCACAGGGGCCAGTGATGCCATTGTGGTTTGTATTCCACTCCCACATATCTGTTCTACCGCTAAGTGCTGATAAACTGTAGGCCAGGCTTCCCCAAGCTGTTGTGTGAGTTGATTTGTTGCTTTAAGCCAACACAGGTGACATACCTTGAGTGGATTGGCCATAAATGCTGTTGTACGATCCATTCCACTTTTGTTAATTATATACTGAAGTGTACTTTGCACATCTATGACATTACTCCACCCGCAGACCTTTGTCACTGTCAATTTTTATGCAACCGAACCATGCTACCGAATGACCTCAACGTACGCTCAGCTACTGAACAAGGCGATCCTGCTCCTGATGGATGTTTAACTGTGACAAAATAACGAGGCATGATTGGCTTCATACCTACTTTTCTTCTTCTTAATGTACATGAACAGCTTCAGACACCACATAAATCCTCAAAAATAAAGCCTGTCCACTCCTCTTCCTCCTTTTCCTCTCCACTCCTTCCAATCCCAGACCATGTTGAAGCTGCTGGTGTGCGGTGAGGGACACGACCGTACAGGAGTGATGATCTCCATCCCCCAGTACCCTCTGTACTCGGCCGCCCTGGCAGACCTTGGTGCTGTGCAGATCAGTTACTACCTGGACGAGGACAAGTGCTGGAGTCTGGATGTGGCAGAGCTCAGGAGAGCCCTCAATGCAGCGAGGCAGCACTGCAATCCTCGAGTCCTCTGCATCATCAACCCCGGAAACCCCACTGGTGTGTCTGGTTGTGTATGTTAGACCTAGCTGACAAGAATTTGGTCCATTTTTATCCAAAAAGAAACAACAACAGAGTTTTTCAGAAGTAAATTTTTGTATAGTTTAGACATCAAAAGAGACTTAAAGGTTTAGATAAGTTTTGCTTTGACTTTAGACATCCCTTCTAATCACCAAAAGTCTTCGTCCTGTTTGATAGGTCAGGTCCAGAGTAGACAGTGCATCGAAGATGTGATCAAATTCGCTAAAGAGGAGCATCTCTTCCTCATGGCTGATGAAGTAAGTCACAGTTGTCATTTCCTCTCCTCAAAAGTTTTTCTGTTTCAGTTTTGTTTAGATGTCTTAAAGTGTAACTTCACCCTCAACTCTGAGCCACCCACAGCATCATATTGAAAAATGCTAAAAAAGTAGGTAAGAGACTGAGATGGAATGTGGCTGAATGAGGCAGGAGTTCCTTGGGGACATCCCCATACTGGAGAAAAATGGAGAGCAGCACAGAATCTGCCACTCCTCTGCCAAAAAAAGGCTGGACTTCTCCCCTCCAGAATCACCTGAAGCAGACATTAATGCAGTGGAGGATCATGGTGATCCCAAAGCATATTAATTGGAGCCAAAGACAGAGCTCTCAGAGCCGAGGCAACGCACGTGTTTTTCTGCAGTCTGCAACAGCACAAGTCCAAACCAAATAAGCAGAAAGATAGTGGAGGAATAGCCAGAAATAATGTGAACACCTTTGAAGAATAAGTCTCAGTCAGGATATATTTGCAAAAGGGCATGATTTTGCTGAAAATCCAGGGCTGAGAAAAGTGGGCCTCCTACCTCTGATTAGAGCGCATTAACATTCTTCACGTAATATAAATTTATAGACGGCTCACTTTATCGGCATTGGCCTTGTAAGATTCAAGATTATGTATAACAGTAGTTGCAATTTTGAGCCATTTTCAACCAATGGAATGCAGATTTGTAGACATTTGGTAGAAATGTTAACACCAGCACTGTTGTTCCTCCTCATAGCAGTCATGTCAATTAGTTTACAAAAAGCATGTTTAAGTGTGCAGTAGCTGTTTACAGAACAAATTAACAATAAATTAAAAGAGAATTAAACAAAAAAACCTAAAAATCTTATCCCTGAATTATAATAGGCTTCAAAGATTTTGCCTAAACACAGAGCAGAAATATCTCTATATTTTAAATTATTTTCCAAAACTATTCTATAAAAAGAACTCCTTATACACCCTTATTTTATCACACGTACACAATTAGCTATGTGCACATTTGCTCTTCATGGAACTTACTTTCACCATACTTTGAATACATTCAGCTCATTTCAGTGAATTCTTAGGTGCATAGAGGTTTTTTTTTATGACCATAATGATGTGTTTTTAATTTTGGCTATCTGTATTTAAGCTGTGTTCCCTTTGTAGGTCTACCAGGATAACGTGTATGCAGAGGGCTGCAAGTTTCATTCTTTTAAGAAAGTGTTGTTCGAGATGGGACCAGAGTATTCCAGTACGGTGGAGATGGCCTCTTTCCACTCCACCTCCAAATGCTACATGGGAGAGTGAGTATTTTAAACTCACACACACACACGCATATATATATATAATAGACCTAATAATTGAAAAATTCTTTACCTCTAGCAGTGCTGAGGAGCTGTTTATGTATGTTTTTCTCATAGACACACGTGCATGTGGGCGACATGATACACAGCCGTGCCAATAGTTTCATGTTATCTCTACTGATTTACAGGTGGTCCGCAAGAAGTGTAGCTATGCACGAACAACAAAGACAGGGAAGAAAACCCCTGAAAGCTCGTAAACACAGATGTAAATAATGCACAGTATGCACAGTTTAAATGTTTTTTAAAAAATCTGTTCTGCAAATGTTTAATGAGGAAGTAAATGCACTCAACATCTGTGTTTGACCCCTAAAGCAAAACCAGAAAACTCCTTTAAAGGATCTTTGGAGGAGTGACTTCTTCCTGATGTGTACATTACCTGCAGTAAGAGTAAACTCTGTGTTTGCCTTTTTTCTTTCCTCTGTTTGCTTTTGTCAGGTGCGGATTCCGCGGAGGCTACATGGAGGTGATCAACATGGACCCCGAGGTGAAGGCCCAGCTCATCAAGCTGGTGTCGGTGCGTCTGTGCCCCCCCGTCCCCGGCCAGGCTCTGCTGGACCTGGTGGTGAACCCCCCTCAGCCCGATGAGCCCTCCTACACCACATTTATGAAGGTCTGGAAAACACACACACCTCACCAGCTAGTGCACACCCTGGCAATGCTCTGAGTGTATGCAAACAGAATTTACTTGTGTAAACACCCGCAAACACCGCACCATATAATCTATGCACACAAAGCCCGTATTGAGTGTGCTAAAGTCCTCACATGGCATTCAATCGGTCGCGAATAATCAGCTTTTGAATCCTGTGATGTTCGAGAAATGTGTTTGGATTCAATCTGTTACAGTTTACCATGTAATTTAGAGCTGGTTGGTGACTTCAAGAAGGTTTGTGCTTTGTAGAGGAGGTAGCCATCAGACCCACACATAAACAGAACTATTGTGTAGCAGAGGAAGCTTTTAGATTGATGATCAATAGTGTGTTTGTGATTAGCAAGAGTTCTCCAGATTTGCAGTTGTGGTTGCAGTTATAACGCACAAATGCATACTTAAGTATTAAGGCATGTAAAAATCATCAAATAATGTTTTGCACTTTACCATAGTTAGAGGAATAATAACCACACTACACATCTACTTTCACAAGTGACTCAGCAGGAGAATAAACACACCCTATAGGAGCCACCTGGCCTCTTATAATCTGAGTATATTAGTTAACCAAACAGAAGCAGGTCAAAAATGTTCACACCCAGTTCTCCCGGAGAAGGTAATCTGTTCCAGAGTCCTCTTGCATTGTATTTAGTATACAGTCGTCCTCTAATGTGTTCATACCCTCCCATTAAAGAAGGAAAAAAACATCTGTCACTGAAATAAATTGAAATCAACAAAAGTAATAATAAATAAAAATTTAATGAAAATCATGACATTGCTTTTGAATTGTGGTTCAACAGAAATATATATATAAAGCATGCTGGAACCGGTAAACTACTATTTTGTTGAACAACCCTTTGAGCCAATCACTGCAGTCAACTGTTTTCTGTAACTCTCAATCAGACTTCTGCGCCTGTTGACAAGTATTTTGATTTTGGCCCACTGCTCATCAGCAAAGTGCTCTAATTTGTTCAGGACAGTTTTGTTTTTGTTTTGTTTTTTTAAAAAATTATTCTTTGCAACCAAAATTCAAAAGGAATGTCTTATTTCACTAAATAATAATCTAGCAAATTTTTATTTATTATTACTTTTTTCAATTTTTAGTTGTTTGAGTGACTGTTGTGAATTTTGCCTTTTCTTTAATGGAGGGTATGAATACATTTGAGGACTACTGTAAATGTAGTACTCTGTTCAGCCTTTAGAGGGCGGGCTCTTGCACTGAAATGAGGACATAGAAAGCATACTGCTCAGGGTTCAGTGGAGGTGAAGCACAGGCTGCAACAAATGCTGGGTTCAGTGCCAAGGGCAACATCCAGACCAAGTACAAGAATGCCTGTCAGATCTGAAAGGTTTCTTGAAATGCAGCTTTTGAAAAAGTGGAGGAGAGAACCACACAATACCTCACTATTGGTATCCAACACCTGCTCATGCTTGTCGTTTCACTTCTCCAGTATTTGGTGCGTCACTGTTAATGAAAAACCACTGCAGGATGTAAAACCAAACTGTAAGATGGATGTGCATATTTATAGTGATGATGAAAGGTTACAGTACACAGAGATGTGATGACACTTTATTATTAATGTATAACTTTGTTGCACTCTGTTAACTGTCAGGTTGTTAACTTGAAAATGTTTAACTTACTTTGATTATCTTTACTGTCAGCACCCAGTCGGACCCATCAAAAGTAGACTTTGGGTGTAAGTCTGCCATTTCCACCAAGCGTTTTTATTAAACTTGTCTCCACCCCTTCCGCTGTCTGCATGGTGGGGTTTTTAAAACCCCCTTCATTACAGGAAAAGGCGACCACAACCTCCGAGTAGCAGCCTCCCACTGAAAACGTTTCAAAGAAGACTGTGATCATGTAATAAACCGGGCCTGCTTTGGTTCTTTCAGTGAATTAGCAATATTAATGACAGTGCATGGAAACGTTTCCATCACTGTATTCTGGGCTTAACACTGCTGATTGGTTTAAGAAATACAAAGAAGCTTAATCTTGTTCCCAAGAGATGCAGTCAGACCATTCTTCAGTGCAAGCTAGGCTCAGCTATGTGAGATTATCCACTAAATAAACTGGGACGCCCAAACCCAGCTGGTATTGTCGTTTGTGTGACTCACCTGATTATTCACCCCTGACAGTTTTTACCGTTTCTCCTTCAGGAGCGGACGGCGGTGTTAGCAGCTTTGGCAGAAAAGGCCAAGCTGACGGAGGAGATCTTCAACACGGTACCAGGCATCACCTGCAACCCGGTCCAGGGAGCCATGTACACTTTCCCCCGCATCACTCTGCCTCAGAAGGCCATCGACAAAGCCAAGGTCTGCTCTACACACACCCTGCATCCTCTGATCTCCTAATTTGTGTAGGCAAATGTATACAAATGTGTGTGTGTGTGTGTGCAGGAGCAAGGTCAAGTCCCTGACATGTACTACTGCATGAGGCTGCTGGAGGAGGAGGGAATCTGCCTGGTACCAGGGAGTGGCTTCGGCCAGAGAGAGGGAACCTTCCACTTCAGGTTAGTGCGGCGAAGCTTGTGGTCTTACTGCCTCCTACTGTTCACTTTTGAAGTTCAAAAAGTTTTAGCTACTTCAATCTGATGAGGATTTTTAAACTGTGTTGAGGTAACAAGTGACTGTGTTGCACAAATCCTGATAGTATCTAATGTGGGGTTTTGTTTTTTTTAATTTTTGAGGTTATGAACAGAATAAACCTTCAAAACACGAGTGTTAAGCGTCAGTATCGTTCCATTAACCTCAAACTCATCCTCCTCCTTCCAGGATGACAATCTTGCCTCCAACAGAGAAGCTGAAGGTGGTGCTGCAGAAGATCCGAGACTTCCACTTGCGGTTCACGCAGGAGTTTTCCTAATGGTCCTCTGCCTTTCAACCACATCTCAAGAACCAGATCCTTCAGTGCCAGTATCTTTAAGTGCCTTCATGTGAAAGAGCTTTTGCGCAAGATCCATCTCTCAGCTCAAGGACTGTCTTCACATGTAATCAGACTTTTAAAGCTCTGTTCACTGTTTTGAGCAACACATGCAATCAGATGTCCTGTTCATATGTTCCTACAGCATGTCAAGATGCAGTGAGTTTCAGTCTATGATGCACTTTCTTTAAGTATTACCCAGCCAGGTCTGTCAGATGTTATGGCGCTGATTGTATGTCATGAGTTGAAGACCTTTTATCCCGTGTCATGTCACAGATGCTGCTACAGGTGCATCCGTCTTTTGCCAAGTGGTTCTATACGTGTCAGTTTAATAACATGTTTGGTGATTACTTGATTAATTTAATCGGCTGTGGATGATGCACCAGATTGGGAAATCACTGTTTTTCAAAGCCTGTATCAGAATGTAGCCATTTGTATTACTAATGTTTAAATTGTTCTTAAATACGATTAAAAAAACCTGTTGTTTTATGAACTGTCTGCAGTGACGGCTCTTATATTTGCAAATCATCTTCCAGCATGACTTGTATCGATTTATCAAGACAAAGAGTCACGTTTGAGTGCTGGGCCACAAGGCTGCCATCATTTTTAGTTTTATTTAAAAAGACTTACATCTTAAACAGTGCTTACATGCTTTTACAAACAGAAGAAAGCGGAATCTCTTGGAATGAACAGAAACTACAATGATGATCGAACCTTGAAATCATCACAGCAACTCAGTAACACCGTTTATAATCCACTGCGTTCCCTTCACTTTCCCAGAGGCCTCCTCAGCGTCCTCTGGGACTCTGCCTGGACAGCACGGTAAGAGTTCTTAGCTACTTTTTTTTTTTTTAGGGAGAGAAAGTTTCAAAGTTCATCTCTCTTCTGTGATAGCTTTGTGGCGTGCTGTTCCAAGAACTTGCTAAACCCTTCTACTGTTCTGTCTCCACCTTCAAATTTGATGGGGCTCTGCTTGCTGTTGCTTGGGGCAAAGTATATTGTGGGGAAGCCTTCCACTTTGTAGCTCTCGTTTGGAACGTCGTTGGCTGTGGCGTCCATCTTGGCGATCACCAGGTTTTTCTCACCCTTGTACTTCTTGCCCAGAGCCACATAATCGGGCTCCAGCTTCTTACAGTGGCCACACCAGGGAGCGTAAAACTCGATCAGGACATCCTTCTGGGTGTCCATGACAATATCGTCGAAGGTTTTTCCTACCACAACCTTCACTGGTCCTTTGTTGTTCTTTGGAACTGGCTGAGACTTGATGATGGGTTTCAGCTTTCCTGTAAATGACATAAAAAGAAATTAAGTAAGAAAAGTGCAAGTCACTGCAAACTACCTAATTATTGACTTGTTTACAAGAAAACTCAAAGGTCACATCATGCCATAAGACACTACTCACCTTTCTTAAAGGCTTTAACAAAGTCACTCAGCACATCAGAGTCAAACTCCTCGGGCTCCATGGCAAACTTCTTGCCTCCATCTGCCATGATTCCCACGTTCACTTCCTCTCCACTCTCGCTCAGACCCAGGCTCTTCAGCTCCTCCGCGTAATCCTCCTCATCAGCGATGGCAAATGTGTACTCAGGGAAGTCTTTGGCCACCTCGAGCACCTTGGACCTCCAGAACTGCGTAGCTAAAAAGACGACAAGACATGTTATAGCACAACAAATCCTCCACAGGTGATAACTGCACGATGTAATGGCTGCTGTAAATAGATGAGATGTTTAGAAGAGATTTTGAAAAAATAAAATAAAAAGTTTTCCACTAAAAGCTTGGCCACAGGAATAAAATTAGGACAAAATTCCAAATAATGAATTAGCAAAAGCTGATTTTTAAAATAAAAATAAAAGCAACATTCAGGTCACGAGGTGTTTAACAAGGTCCCAGGTCTGACGTAATAACTCACTTTTCCTGTAGTCAAAGCTGAAGTCAACTCCATAATACACAACCACCAGGGGTCTCTTGGCGTAACGTTTCCCATCATTGCTTGGTTTTCTGTGTCCCACCAGAGGAATCATATGTTTTTTGAAGAACTCCTGCACTTCTGACACCGTCGTCGAGTCCTGCATGACAAATTAATGAACATATCTTGAGTTCAAATGTGAATTTCTCCACCTGTGTCAGAATCTGCTGATTTTAGGGGGTTAGCAAATATAGCATTTAAAACTGAAAATGGCTGTTGCTCAGTGAAGCATGCATATTGCAAATTTATTTGTACACCAAAACTCAAACTGAAAGAAAGCACAGTCGTTTGGGATTCTGCACAGTTTCATATCTAGTAAAACCAAATTTAAACCCAAACTATTAAAAACATTTAAAGTAACAAATACCAAAACAGATGAGCAATGTTGAAAATGGAAATAAAAGACGGCACCTTGACTTCGAGCGTGTGTGACGATGGCTCATACTTGGAGCGGAACTTCTCGGGTTGAACAATGACAATCTGACCAGGAGAAGCTTTGAGCAGCTTGGACACTTCAGCGCTGAAGGCGTGACGGAAGGTGAAGTCTTCCCTCAGTGCATTACCTGCCAGACAAATATCAGTGAGAACAATACCCACATGTCCATTTGAAGAGTGAGAAAGAGTCTATGTTCCTTAAAATTAACTAAATGCTACGTTTTGGAAAATGGTCTCAGAATTATACTGGTGATGACACAACATATCTCTGATCTTGAATTGCAAAACATGCAGTCACCAGAAAAGAGAAGGAAAAAAAAAAAAAAAAGGGAAACAGGAAAAAAAAAAGTGACTTATCATAGTGGAACCACTTACAGGCTTCAATGTAGATCTCATAAGCTGCATCCTGTTCGCCAGAGAACACACCGACAATGACAGCATCATCACCGTCCTTGATGAGCTCCTGAATCTGTTTTCCTGCCTGAACCTGTTTGGATGGAGGCCCTGCCTGCTCGCCCATGTAGTCAACAATGCCTGTGGGAAAAGAGAAAAAGATGGATCAGCTGTGATGCATGATTAACGAAGCTGGAATATGCACACAGGTCTGCATGCATGCAAAGCTCAACATGCACAGAAAACAGCAAGGACAGACACGACGCGGTCAGTGACCTACCGAACTTCTCCCTGGGTCCGTTGTAGTCAAACACCTTGCCCTTCCTGAAGATCTTGAGGGTGGGATAGCCAGTGACTCCAAAACGCGTGGCAATCTCACCCTCCTCTGTGGCGTCCACCTTGGCCAGAGGGATGGGAGGAGTGCGCTGGCTCAACTCCTTGGCTGCCTTCTCGTACTCCGGAGCCAAACGCTTACAGTGTCCGCACCTGGAGGTCAGTTAAAGATGGATAATGATGAAAGTTTTATTGGGTGATTTCCACACTGCTTTTGACAACTAATCTGTATTTCATGAACTCACCAAGGAGCGTAGAACTCCACCAGGATGATGTCTGCATTATTTACAGTGTCATCAAAGTTGTCCTTTGTCAGCACCAGCGTCGCCTCAGGAGGAGGTTTCCAATCCGGCTGAGCCACCTCTTTCACCCGCTCCACGATGGCTGCAACACACAGACATTCACTACATTAATACTTATTTATTTTTTAAAGTGTAGCTGTGTTGAAATGTTGTGAAGATGTTTAAACTGAACAAACTGTTCCCACCCTTCTCGGTTCTATCTCCGTCATACTCCACAGGCTGCCCATTTTTTAGGATCTTGATGGTGGGGTACCCCGACACTTCGAACCTGCCGGCCACCACACTGGCTACTGTTGCATCCACTTTGGCCACAGGTATAGGAGGGTCATTCCCCTTCAGAGTCTCAGCGATTTTTTCATACTCTGGGGCAAACTGTTTGCAATGGCCACACCTAAAATAATATACAAAGGACACAGCTGTATTAAAACGTTTACCAGGATGTGAAAAGACAGAGTCATGCTGAAAAATTTACATAGGAAATGGCTTAGATATTAAAGTTTCAACAGAAATATTTTTTTCTGCTCCTGTGCTACTTTCAATTTTGAAATGAGTAGAGTAGTTGTTGTACATGTTACAATGACAATAAAGATATATTCTAGATGCATTAATTAATCTTGTTTTTTTTAGTTACTATATTAACAAGAAATATCTTGATAATCAAGGTGTAATTTTCTAATTCTAGCATCGTAAACTTTACTATATTCTGGTTTCTTTTCTTCTCTATGACAGTAAACTGAATATTTTTGGGTGGCAGATAACACAAGACATTTGCAGACTTCACGCTGAGCTTTGGGAAACACCAATTGCCTTTTTTGACCAATTTAAATACCAAACAATCTATTACTCAAGAATAAATAAACAGATTATGCAACAGTGAAAACAACTGTCAGTTCCTGCCCTAGACTTGAAGTAACAGGTCATTCTGATGGCAGGCTTATGAAAATTACAACATAGTAAAAACTTACCATGGGGCATAGAACTCAATGAGAACTGTGTCTTTGCCCTCCATGAAGGTGTCAAAGTTCTTGTCGTTAAGAACCAGCACCCCGTTCTCTTCTTTCACTTCTGTGTCGTCATCATCATCTTCCTCCTCCTCGTCATCACTGTCCTCATCATCACCTTCCTCCTTGTCTTCTGCAACATCTGACAGCAAACAAGAGAAAAAAAAATGCCACATTAATTTTGTGCTAAAGCCAGGGCAATGTGTTAGTGCCACCAGAATGCTGCTTGTTTGACTCCTCAGACTTTTCGAGGCAGGTATGGACCTGGCGTGCAGCAAGAAATGGGAGTGTATTCAGCTGGAGGCAGCACAGAGAGGGACAGGAAGAGGTCATCAGGAGAGCCAGCTCTGTTCTGGACCATCCACTGGACTCCATAGAGGGGGTTGGGTGAGAGGAGGATGTTAGCCAAGCTGACATCCATCGTGGACAACACCTCTCACCCCCTGCATGGCACTGTGGGGTCTCTGAGCAGCTCCTTCAGCAGCACACTGATACACCCACAGTGTAAGGAGGAGCGCTTCATCCCAACTGCTGTCAGAATCTACAACATGCTGTAGGTCTCCTTCAATATTGCATCCTTACATACATACTATAGAATATTAGATCCATTTTTCTCTATCACATTTTTACCCATTTCTCATGTGCAATATGTTATATGTGCAATGCTCTTCCTAGTTATGCTTTTTTTTGTTTGAACATATTTTTTTTCCTTAGGTTAACGTGTTGGTATGTTTGTGCTCTTTTCATACATCTGTACTGCTGCAACAAGTGACTTTCCCCATCTGTGGTGATGAATAAAGTACAATCTAATCATCTCATGTAATCTGTACTGTCACTATGCTGCATACCGGCGATGTACAACAGAAACAGGACTGCCTGAAATAATATTATCACTGTGCGTAAAGTAATTGTTAACACCCAGGAGCAACTCAACTGCTAGTGTGTGTGTGGATTGCTGGCTAGCTTGCTAACAAAGTATGTACAGTGTCTTAGCTAGCTAGTTTGCATAACAATAACTTACAGGAAACACACACCAGCTACGCCACAGCTTCACTTCGACCAC